TTATTCTGAAAGTAAATATTTTAATCTAAATGTGTATTTTTATTTTATAATATCATACAAATTTGAAGTAATAATATTGAATGCTCTACTCGTATTTAGCATGATTATTTTTATACACAATAAACTTCTTAGTAAATATAAATTAAAATTAAATACATAAGTCTATTATTTGGTTTTATAATATTTGCTAAAACAACGTTTTCACCTGTGTCTTTTCCGGCATAATCATTAACCGCCATACTTTTCAAGCCCACTCATGCGATTCTAATAGCTATCACAAAGAGCGAATGGTATCAAAATGGCGGTTCAGGTGAGCAGTCGTTTATGATTAACATGGCGGACTAACCTGACGGGTTTGCGTGGAATCTGTGTAATCTGACAGGGTTTTCGCCGAGAAGCAGACGCCTTTCTGGTTCGATACGGAAACATTCGATGTCTGGGACCGCAACATCTTGAAACGCACGCACAACGGAGTCTGAGAAAGAAAGTACCGACTACCGGTAGGGTCGATGTCCGGCGAAGGCCGCTAACGACGCCTAATCTTTTCCAAGAAGCTGTCACAAGTCGCCACTCTTCTGGTATCGGGCTGCGTTCACGATCAACCATGAACTTTTCAATACGATTACTCATATCCAATAAAAACTTAAAATACAAATAGATTAATACTATTACTATTGTCAGAAATAAATTTTTCTACTTCGTTACACAAAATTTTTTTATTTTTTACTTTTTTGTTGTATGAATAATTTTATTTTAACTTTATTATTTGACTTAAAAAAAATCCATATTTTATATATTGCATTTAATATGATAGATATTTTGCTAACAGAAAATCTTGGGGTATTTTCCAGCAAGAACAGTGTTTAACACAGTGAGTTTATCTTTATTCAACGTTGGCGGCAAAAATATAATGATTTATTGTGTTATACTGTGCCGTTACTAAGAAATGCTATTATTTGAAATAATTTATTATAGATGTTCATAACCATAGCAACAATTTTAAAATCTATGGATTAATGCAATTTCCACTTTTTTATGGTTACTGTAGTAAATTCTACTAGTCTATAATAATTTGTAAATCAGTCTTTTTACTCTGGTTCTTTACCTTGTGTGTCAAAAAAAAAACTCAAAGTCTGGAAGAAACAAATCATTGAACTATAATAGACGGCACACTCTTTGATTTAAGGGAGAGAGAAAAATATCACTGTAGGACTCTATTCTCTCCGTACATTTTCATGAAAAATTCTTTTTGTAAATAGTTCTTTTTTGAAACAAAGTTTTTCAGCTTCTTTATACTTCATTGTCTTTGAGTGTAATGACATAAATTTTAACTAATAAACGTCGGTGTGACAAGATCGGTGTGAGAATCCTGCAGTTATTATATCTGTTTAGACAATACTTTAGCCAGGCTATACATAGGTTGAGTACACGTTCCAGTTGTATTATAGTTCAGTGAGATAAATGTATTCTTCTCAACAGAAAATTTTATCTTCGTCAGTTAGGTAGCATTGTACAAAATATGCAGTTTATATTGGACATCAAAGAAGTCTTACATTTCTGCTGACTTTTGTTTCCTTCCTTTATTTTATGAAAAATTGTAATTTTTAAAATTATTTGCGAAACTGATTAAAACAATATGGTTGGTGAGTTTTAATAATTGTTTTTTCATTTGTTTCAAAATAGCTGTTGCTAGAGTAGTGAGAAAGATTAATAACAATAAGTATGACATTTTTTACATGCAATTATGAAAAGTATTTAGAAATTAAAAACTATATCGTGACATTAAATATGATAGACTGTCGCGTCTATCGTGTTTATGCAGAGGCATTAATGACGCACTATCCGCGTCGCCTAGTTAATTAGACGAATTAATTAGCATTGGCAAGTAGCATAATTAATATGCGCAAGCGAGGTGTCTTCCTCCGGATGTTGATACGCTGTCGAAGATGTTGTGATTTTCGGCATCACCCAATACGCCACACCTTCGACCACCCGGCGTGCACGTCGAATTAATGAAACATCAAATATTTTATACTGTGTGAAACACGATATTAAATGTTGTCATCGGCATTCATTGACCTCATCAATTGTTCATTCTTTAGCGGATCTCTCATTCAGTTCCTGAAACTGTATCGCTCTTGCGAGGTAGTAAAAGAACATTTATGCAATGTCGCATACGTGAGACTCCGTCTGATGCCACAGACATGGTATCATATTCATGATTCAAGACGGTACTCAATGACATTCCATTTAATCTATTCATTCAGCGTTCTACGACGATTCATTCTCTTGCGCTGTTTGATTTTTATCCAGTATAAATTTTTTGATGAAATTAAAATATTGTAATATTTTTTAAATTACCGAATTGCCTTGCATCATTACGTTATTATTTTTTTTAAAGTAATTCGTACGCTAAAAATATATAAACATGAATTTTTTTCTGAATATTAGAAAGAAAGATATTACGATATTAGATATTAAAAATAAAAATATGAAAACAATATATGTATATTATATTATGCGATAATAGACGAAAGTAATTAATAAAATATAAGATTTATAGAATGGAATTATATTATACTCTCTTTACAATCATTTTATCATATATTAAAAAATGTCTTATTATGTTTGTTTAATTCTACATTAATTTAATTTTCAATTATATCTTAACAATAGAATCTTATTGTTAGACATGAACACGCGATATTAAATCACGTCACTGGAATGAACACTTACCTTGTGTGAATCCCGACGATCGTTTCCGACAGGAAGTCTGGCCAAAGAGGAAGCCCTGGACTGCGTCAGCAGACACCGCTCTTTGCTGTACACCTTTCCATGCCAGCTCGTGCTGTTTCAACTACACTCATACCTTTTGCATTTGCTCGCACGAGTTTGCCGACAAAGACCGTCGGCACAGAACCCGCATTGCATTTTTGATAACCCGACGCTCGACTGTACTTCTCGCCCACGCTGCCTGGCCATTTATTGTTATTTACAAGTCACTTGTAGCTTAATTAACTCGAGTTACAAACTCAAAGAACAAATTTATATTAATAACCATACTTCTCTTTCAACACGACGATAGTAGCTACATTATACACATACATATATATATAT